CAGCAAAACCAAATTAGCAGCAAATACTTACAAACGCCATAGCAAAAGAGACCAAAGGAACGGACGAGCCTCCAGTTTTGTCATCATGACCCGGCTGTAAAGCCATGACAAAACAAAAGGGGAGACACGGGTTGAAGGCCGAAATAACAGTAATTTATTGTAAAGAACCAACAAAACCATGAGGCAGTCTGGAACAATGAGTGAAGCATGTCAGAGTGGGGGAGGGAAGTGAGCCAAGGCCTGTTTTAAGTCCCTCCCTACAGCCTCTCCAGGTGTGCTGCATCCAACAACGAGGCTGCAGCTCCACCCCCCAGGCTCCTGCAACCAAAGATAACAGCCTCCCAGCACACAAGCCAAAGCCAACCCTGGAGGCCGCCACACCACAATTCATTAAAAACATATTCAAAAATAAAAATTTTACAAAATCCCTAAAAAAATTACTAAATCCAAAAAGTAAAAAAAAAAGGTACATTTCATTTTACGTATTGTTTCCCTTATTCAAACCCTCCTTTAGTTGTTTGTGCCTTTTTTTTAAATAAATAAATTGATTAATTAAAAATTCAATGATTAAAAAATTCAAAATTCATTAAAACGTGGTGGATGGCTGGACACAGGTCCATAATGTAGCTGTAACACCTCCCAGGCCAAGCCCCCAGCCTGGTTCCCATCCAGTGGTCCAGAGCCCTGACCTCTGAGCCCATGGCTGACAGCTGCTGCCCACTGCTCTGACCGGAGCCAGACTGGAGCCTCCCGCTGGACACAGGCCGCCTCTGAAATGTGGTCCAGAAACAAGATCAGCAGGGTCCAGACTCACCTTCATCATCCAGCCGTACAGAACGGATCTCTGCGTGATCATGGGGATCACACCCATATTCTCCTGGTCAGTATCTCAGACTGGGAGGAGGACACCTGTTCTCGGACGCTTTGAGGTGGTCTTTCTGTTAGTGATAAGAAGCAGCGCTGTCTTTACCCTCAGCTGGTCCTCAATCAGGACACCAAGACTGCAACTGCCTTTGACGGAGCAGAGGCAGATATTCAGGTCGGATGAGAATCCTGAGGCTGGTTTTGCTGGAAAGATGAGTGTCCAGAGGGTCCAGATGGTCCAAAAGACCCAGGGTGCTCCGGAACGCACCGGAGCAGGCGGCCCCCCCACCCCCACGTTTGAAAGAACCCAGAAAGCACAAAACCCAGGATGATTTAAACCATTTATTCAGAAAACAGGGAGCAGCTTGTGGTCCCAGCAGGACTTGGAGCTCTGGCCTGGTTCTGGTCCGGTTCTGCAGGCCCTCAGAAGTAGCCTGTGGGGTCTGTCTTGTTCTGGTCCGGTTCTGCAGGCCCTCAGAAGTAGCCTGTGGGGTCTCTCTTGTGGCTCATCTGCAGGTGGGAGGTGATTCCCGGGTACAGCATGGGCAGCATGGTCCCGACCCGCTGCCCCCCCCACCGGCCCGGAGCTCCGATCCAGACTCACGTAGAACAGCCTGAAGCACAGACCTGCAGGGAGAGGGAAAGCTGTGGGTCAGAACCGTGGAGGGCCAGAACCAGGCTAGAAAACCGAGCCAGAACCAGGCTAGAACCAAGCCAGAATCAGGCTAGAACCGAGCCAGAACCAGACTAGAACCGAGCCAGAACTGGGACAGACCAGGCTAGAACTGGGACAGAACCGAGCCAGTACCAGGTTAGAACTAGGCTAAACTGGACCAGAACCGGGTGGCGGGGCCATGGACCCCCCCTCTCCTCTCAGGTTGGTTCCCTGGGGAATGGCGGCCTTCTGGGGGTCGTTGTAGACGATCAGCTTCCAGTGCAGCGTGGCGTCAAAGAGTAAAGGTCAGATAAAAAAAAGCCAAGGTCATTTCAAGGTCAAACAAAAAGTAAAGGTCATTACAAGGTAAAAAAAAAAGTCAAGGTCATAAACAAAGTAAAGGGCATTCCAAAGACAAACTAAAGTCAAGGTCATACAAAAAATGTCAAGGTCATACAAAAAATGTCAAGCTCATCCAAAAAGGTCAAGGTGATTTTGAGGTCAAACAAAAAAGGACTAGGTCATTTCAAGGTCATACAAAAATGCCACGATCAAACAAAAAAGTCAAGGTCATTTCAAGGTGATACAAAAAATGTCAAGGTCATCCAAAAAGGTCAAGGTCATTTTGAGGTCAAACAAAAAAGGACAAGGTAATTTCAAGGTCATACAAAAAAGTCAAGGTCAAACAAAAAAGTCAAGGTCATACAAAAATGTCACAGTCAAACAAAAAAGTCAAGGTCATTAAAAAAATGTCAAGGTCATTTCAAGGTCATACAAAAAAGTCAAGGTCAAACCAAAAAGTCAAGGTCATTCCAAGATCATACAAAAATGTCA